AGAGACCCCAGCTCCTAGCCCTTGGCCGTTAGTCTAAGTGGTTGAGGAGGTCTCGGAGGGAACCTTTCAGGGCAGGCCTTGGTGCTTTGAGGAGCTTCAGGATTCATGGGTTTGGGGTTGGGCGTTTACAGGGTTTATAGGGTATATACAACAAACATATATATAGATAGATAGATAGATAGATAGATAGATAGATAGATAGATGGATAGATAGATAGATAGATAGATAGATAGATAGATAGATAGTGTATATTTTTTTGTTACAGTCGGGTTTAGGCCATGTTTTTTTGATGTGGAGGGTCTGTAGGGCTTCTAGGGGTGTTTGGGTGTGGGGTTTGAGGTTGAGGGAACCTGCCGCAGCAATCCCGGAGTCGAAGCTCTGATATGGGTCCCTGCTTTCCAGTCTCAGACAACTGGTTTTTCGGGAAGGCACAGCGGTTCGAGATTTCTTTGGAGTTTTGGCCTTAAGCCTCCAAGCCCTAAGCCGCAAGCCATGGTTCAATCCTGTTCCCAAGCTGGGTTCCGGCAGGCAGCCGGCCCGTGTCATGGAAGACGGCGAAGCAGTACACAGCGAACCTTCGGTAAATGGACAAAACGCTCTAGACAGATCTTGCTTCAGGGTTCAGGATCGTCTATGAGGGTTGTCGACATAGAAATAAGTACGGAATCGGGCCTTCCTAGCCAATCAGGTGCAGGAGGCTTCGCTGCGCACGGATTCCGTAAAAGAGGCACCACTCCGGCCTCAGAAGTGGTGGAAGGCGAGAAGATAGGATCTGGGCTTCACACCCTGAACCTAAACCTTAAACCCTAAACCCCCAGACCTCTACTTGGGCATCCAGGTTCGATATCTGATATCCGGCTTGACAGGTTCAGGTGCACCTTCGGAGCTTTAGACAAGAAAGCTGCTGGAGATGCTTTTCACGGAGTATGCAGGGTTTTGTCGTCTCGCAGGGTGCCTGGGGTTTCTACGGTGGTTCTAGCCGTTCTAGCCTTCAGTTTCTCAAGGATCCGAGTCTGCCGCGCCGGGGTTGAGTCTTGACAACCCTAAGGCAAAAGCCCAAACTCTAGACACCAAGACTACGCTTGAGAGAGCGTCTTCGCGATCCTTTTCAGACCTCGGGATTAATCTGCTTAGGGCATCGATCGGGTGGATTGTAATATCGCGGTTTTCTCGGGTTGGATTGGGGGCACGAGATTTCAGGCCTGTGTTGCCTGGCTTCGTGTGTGAGTTTCCGGAGAACCCGACACGGAGATCAATAAAAGTTGGCTGAAACTCGAGTGCGTGCGCTTTGCAGCAGGTCAGCCTGCTCGTGGCGAACCGTGCGGCCAGGTTGCCCGGGGGGGTTCTGCATGGGGTTCGTTCCAAAATCGTCAAACGAGTCTGCACGTAACATATCACCGCGAGCTCCAAGAGCCATGTAGAGCAGGCCCTGATCTAAGCTTGCGGCCGCGCATGAAGCATGCGGAAAAGGCTTCATGTTGTTGTATTTCATATATCACACGTATCCACCTTTGTTTCATATTATGTTTTATCTCTAATGTTGTTACCTTTGCTCGAAAGTCTTAATAAACATGATTGATCCGGAGACTCCCATATCCCCTAATACAAGCCTGTGGAAGCGATAGATTGCGGATTTGCTTGAACTTCAGGGATGTTGGAGTCTAGTGGAACCCTTAAAGAGTTATAGGATTGAGGGTTTTGGGCTCAGGGATGTTCAGGCGGTTGTTTTGTGTCTTTTGGTTGGTTGTGTATATACTGTTGATCTGTTATTCTATTGTTATATTGCGACTATATTTTCTATAGATACATGTTTATATTCATACTTTCTTTATTGTTATATTGAGGTATTTTCAAAATTTATGAAATTATTGTTTTATTACATTATGAGTTTCCTTTATATATATATATAGTATATCAGTAGACTTAGTATATTACTCCATCATTCCATTATTCTAGAATCCATGGTTCTATCATTCGATTACGCTATTGTGATTTCGTTATAGTGCTATTATACTGAACATTAATATGTATTTACTGTATATGAATGTAGTCTTATGCTCTTATATGATCCTATTCGTACATTGGTATATTACTATGTTATTGTACTGCTGTGTTGGCATATAGATATATTAATGGTTTTTTCTGTTGTTCAATTGTTCTATTGATTATTCTGTTTTCTGTTGTTCTACTATTCCATTATTCCATCATTCGTTTGTTGAATGTTTACACTGTTATATTTCTAGCTTCTCGAGAACTACATTCGATCATCATATCTAAAATAGTAACCATATACTATATGCTGTATATTACATGTGATAGGTTTACATGTTATCGAAGCTCGACCAAGCACGTCGAAATCAGGATCTTTGTTCGAACCCTTGTCGTGTGTAGGGCTTTGGGTTTAGGGATCTTTATTCGGACACCCTGTAGGTGTGTCCTGGTGTCTGCGGTGCCCCTTGTTGGCTGCTTTCTCGCGCTGCCAAAGATGCAGCTGCTGTCAAGGCCCTTGATGAGATTTCACAGGTTTTAGGGTTTTACGGCTTGCAGTGTTGTGGTTTTATGCTATAGGGTTTAGGATTGTGGTTTTAGGGTTGTAGGGTTTTCGGATGCATATGGCATATGAGCTACAAAGGACTTTGTACACATTGTCCCCTAATTTTCCCAGCATCATCGCGAGGATCCTCCGCGCCCTGAGGTAGAACAGCCCCCACGCAAGCTTGGTCAAGGAATTCTGATTCAAAACGTCCCTAAAACCTAAACCCTGAGCCCTGAACCCTAAACCCTAAGCCCGAAACCCGAAACCTTATAAATCTTAAACCCTAAACCCTAAACCCTAAAGCCCAAAACCCTAAACCCTAAAGCCGAAACCCTAAACCCTAAACCCTCAAAACCGTTGGGATCTGGGCCTCGCTCCTGGGCGCGAGAGTTTTCTCTACGTAAAGCCCACAACCCGACCTTGGCTTCCACTCACCGAGCCCTGTTTTGGCGACCTCGAACCCTGTAATTTAGGAATAGGGTTCCTTTAAAGGGATCCTTAAAGGGTTCCATAAGGGATCTACAATAGGGTTCTATAGCAGGGGTTAAAGGGTTCTATAAGGGCTACCATAAGGGTTTAGGAGTTCTAGTTCGAGGGCGCTACTGTGGGGGCCTGCATAATTTAGGGTGTAGGGGCCTTAATAGTTAGAATGGGGTTTAGGGGCATAGTATACTATAGTTATAATAAGGAACCCCGCAAAACCCTAGTCTAACTATTAAGGCCCTACATTACCTAAACCCAAGTTCCCAATCCTACCGAAAGCGCCGCTCATGACCGAAACCCTTACAAGGAGTGCACCACTGTGTCTGAAAACGGCTTGGAGGCCAGGGGAGGTGTCCTGGAAGAGATAGGGGAGGGATGGGAGGATCGGGGGATCGGGGGACTTAGGAAGTGAGGTCCTACGTAATCTATTTGGGGTTCGTACAAGATAAGAGAAGGATAGTTACCTTACTTGGAACCCTAAGTCCCGTGATCCTTGAAATGCGGATTGTCGTGTCAATCTAAGGTTTCAGAACAGGGGTGACGAAGAAAATCATCTGTCAGCTGCAACGAGTTTCAGAAGGGGTCAAGACACCCTGCCGGGAGGGTCGGAGGACCCAAGAACTAGTTCTGTTATAGACTTATAAGTATCATCGCCCCAATTAGGATCCCTTTCTAGGGTACTTAAAGTCTACTTCATACCTACTGACTGAGTCCCCCGACCCTCCAAGTGTAGTGTCAAGATGTCGAAGTCACCGAGCTCCCTTTCCACATGCTCTTATTCTACAAGCGAAGTTGCCTAAGCTGATCACCAGCAACAGTATCCTTTCAGCAGTGGCAGCTGTCGGTTGCCAGCATTATTGGTGTCGTTGATGGCAAGTCCAAACTTACGTCTTTACTGCATACGACGTCTTTCTGCTGAGCGGAGAAGCGTGCCCAGATCCAGGACATTTTCAGGTGGGTAGTTACCGTTGCAGGAGCCTTATAGAAGGTCTATATACCTTATGGAAGCCTTATAGAAGCCCTATATATCCTAAACTCCCCACCTGAAGTTTCCTTTAACCAGAGGCTTCATGCACATCTTAAGCTTCGCACACCCAGGACCAAAGCCCCGAGACGCGAGGCCCTGAACCCTACATACTGAACCCTAAAGCCTAAACTAAACCTTAAGCCCTAGTCTCTCTAATCTCCGAACCCTAAACCCTAAACCCTAAGCCTTGAACCCTGAAGCCCCAAACCTGAAACCCTACAGAGCTGCGCCGAGTAACGATGTCTCCCCGAAGTTGTCCCGACAGAGCCGCCGAGGAGTGGTGGCGCCCATGTGGACGAGGTCGAACCAGCATTCAGCGTCTAGGGTTGACGGTGTAGGGCTTGAAGGTTAGAGTTCTAGGGTTTAGGGTTTAGGGTTTTGGGATCTAGGGTTTAGGGCGTGGGGTTCGGCTTAGGATCCAGTCATATGGAGAGTTCAAGAGCCCAAGGCGTCTACTTCGGCGTTTTTCCAGTTGCAGGAGTTGGCCGAAACTTCGGAACGAAGTCACCAAACATGAACACCGTCTCCAAGTGAACTACATCTCCTTTCACAGGTTCGTTTGAGATGAAGGTGAGAAGAGGGGATTTCGGGTGATATAGGCGCCTACGTAATTTCCATTACTATTTTGGGGTTCTTCCCTAAACCCTAAACCCCCCGAACTCCTTTTCGAATCATTAAGGCTCCTACAGAGCCCGAGGTTCCTCGCTGCTACCCAAACCCCAAACCGCAAGCCCTACACCCTAAACTTCAAACCCTAAGCCCTCAACCCTAAGCCTTACGCCCTGAACACGAAACCTTCGGCCTAAAGTCCAAACTCAAGAGTGTAGGGGCTTAAATAATTACCCATACTATTTTTTTGGCTCCTGATTAAGGTTATAGTATAATATTTCCCCAAACCCTATTCTAATTATCAAGTCCCCTACATGAATGTCGCTCTTGAGGACCTGATCCCAATGCCACCTCTGGTGAGACCAACGCCTTTCTCCTGGCTGCCTGGGTGTCGGTGCAGTTTCTGTGCCTTGGCAACGGTTGAGGGTTGAAGGGTTTAGGGAGGGTTCAGGCTTGCAGGGTTTGAGGGTTTAGGCTTTTAGGGTTTGAGGGTTAGGTTTTGCGGGTTTGGGGTTTAGGGCGCATTGCCGTGTTTTGTGAAGAAGCAGGTCATAGGACGAGCTCATGCAGCTGATGCTGCTTCTAAACGGGTTGTCCAGCCCTAGCGGGCCTCAGATTTTCAAGGAAGGTCTATCGTCGGCAGAGTTTTGATCCTTTGCTGCGCACCCTGTGCCACATTGTGGCACGTCCCAGGCCCTGAGCAAGCGCCATACTCTGCAGCCCATGGAAGTGACTTTGGTCACATGTATTTTCCGACATCCATCATTGCACTCTGTGGAGCTCTTCACGTTTGGGGGCCATGAACCTCAAAACCTTGACTTACAGCTCAAATGGTGAAGCAGACGAAGCAAGCAGGCCCAAGTGTCCTTGGATGCGAGGTGGAACTTTGTTGCCTCTTGCTTCTGTGCTCCAGGCGTGGGACGAGTCATAGTCCCCACCCGACAGCTTCAGGATTCAATTAACAGCACATGTGCCTTGCAGCATGTCGCAATCAGCATTATTTGCGCCCTCGACCCTCACTCTACGGTCTGGGGTTAATTTGGCGTTAGGAACTCGGGTTTGCCCCTGAACCGTCAACCATTAAGCCGAAACCCTGAACCCCAAACCCTAAACCCTGAACTCCAAACCTTAAACCCCTATTGTAGGCTTTGTGACGTCAGGCTTAGGGCTTCGATCCTTCGCCGTCCACCCCGGCCAGGCTCCCCGCAGCCTCCCTGGCCGGAGGCGACGCTGGGCTGTAGAGGGCCCCAGCAGTTTTGACCTGCCGGGTTTAGGGTTTTAGGGTTTTAGGAATTTAGTGTTTTACGGTTCTAGAGTTTTAGGGTGTTAGGGCTTAGGGTTTAGGGTTTTAGGGGCTCAAGGCTTCAGGTTCAGGGCTTAGTTAAGGTTCTTAAGCCCCTCAACACGTGAACTGTAGGATTAAGTCGGCCACAATACTTCTTGCATGCTCTGACGGCAGGAGTCCAGTGAAGCTAAGAGGCTGCTTGTGCGCTGCATTGCAGGGCTTACTTCCACTAAACTTAGCCCCTAAGTCGCAATCCCTAAACCTGGTCTCCCCAGCCTTAAACCAGATTCTCTGAACCGTAAACCACTCTGTCATGCAGCATTCAGGCTGCACCAGCGAGTTACTGAACTCAAATCAAAAGTCCCTGAGCGCCACAGACCCTAGAGCTCTTTCATTTGGTGTTTAAGTCTTCGCAGGCTGGCCGCTACCCCGTCGCTTGGGCGACTCGTCCATTTAGGTCTTCGTTCTCCCGGTCGTAGCAGAGCTCGGGGAATTTTCATCCTTTGGCCAAAGAAATGAAGGCGAAAACCCTAAACCTAAGACTCTAAGTCCTAAGCCCTAATCCCTAAACGCTCCAAACCTAAACCTTTCCATGTGAGGCTCAGAGATTTCTGGCTTGAGGGGCTAAAACCTCGGGCCCGTGGGAGCAGAACAAGCAGATTCCTGGGCTCTTCTTGAGGAACTTAGCGTAGGATAGAGTACTAATGCGTATTAAATCACATTGGTATTATTATTATTGTTATATTTCACTGTTGTGATTTTTTTTATTATTCGTATCATTAGTTTCGATTTTTTTTGGCATTTTTGTTGTTATTAGTATTGTTGTTATTACTGCAACTACCATAATAGTTATGAGTATCATGAATATGAAGGGGCTTAGGAGAGTGGCTTGTCAGGGGGCCTGACAGGGATGTTGAAGGGTTTAGGGTTTAGGGCTTAGAGTTTAGGGTTTAGGGTTTGGGGCAATGGTTTGGGGTAAGGTCCGCTTAGGGTTTGACTTCTGTCTACGGAGCTTAGTGTAGGTTACCATAATTTCGTGCTCCTTTAAGGGTGTGGGGTTTAGGGTTAAGGAACTTTGTTTGAGGTACCATTATCGGGATCTGGAGTATGTGGTCGGGTTTCTTTATCATGGTAAAAGTCTGTAGCAAGAGCCCAGATTAAGGACGGGCCGCAGCTGTACTATTTGCCCCGCTGGTGCGATAGCTGCCAGCAGTGGAGCCATTGCTGCATTCCTTCTTAAGTTTTGGCGTGTTGGGTTTCGGGATGCAAATGTGCCTTAAACCACCGAAACCTATCTTTTGTCGGTTCTCGACACATTCCACATCAGGGTTCCACAACAAGAGCCTGCATAAGGTTGGTAGTTCATGGTAGTTTAGGTAGGGCTTAAGGACCCAAGGTTTCGTTAAAGGCTATAGGGTTTAGCGGTGTTCCACAGCGCACTGCACGGAGAGTCAGTTCGGCCTCGGCAGTCATACTTTCAAGGCTGTTGGTACCATTCTCAGCCTAAGAGGAGCGAGTCGCAAAGTTCATGAATGGTCAACCACTGCAAGAACACGGTCACTGGCAAGGACTTCTATAAGATGGAGCGCCGTGGAAGCCCTATTGCACGAACCTCACAGATTTGGGCTCAAGCTTTAGGCAAAGCCTTGCGGTTTCAGGTTTGCAACGCTGAAGCTCACACCCTTAGTCAACCCACCAGCCCCTAAATGTCGTCTTCTCAGCCTCAGGGAGTTTGGGCTCTCAGAGCTCCCTTGAACTGTTTGAGTTCGCGCTTCGCTTCGGTGCAGGAAGCCTCCCAGAGCTCATCACAGCAAGCGGCTGGGGCAGTGCGTCCTCCGCATGGATCATTATTGCCTTTCGCCTATAAGGGCTTTTGGTTTAGGGCTCAAGGTTTTACTGGGTCTTCCTTGCGATCTGAGTCGAACGTCTTCGAGCTCGACCCTTGATCTTGCGTCCGCTGTATGAAGTAGATGCATGTGCGCTGGCAGGCAAGACTCATTGGACAAACTGTGTGCTTTGCTACGCCCGCGGCAAAGCATTGGAGCAAACCAGACAAGCCCCCCAAACCCAAACCCCTAAAGCCTGAACCCTAAACCTCACAACCCTAAATGCAAAAGGCCCCAAGTCGTAAGCCTCAAACGCCGAAAGCCCGACAGCCCCCAAAATGATATGAGAAGATCCTTAAAGCCTACATGCCTGAGACCCTGAAGCCCGAAAAAGCTCTAAACCCAAAAGCTTCAAGGCCTAAAACCCGAAACTCTAACGCTAAACTGCACCGTAAACCTTGAAACCTAAAAGCCCTAAGCCCTAAGCCCTACAAGCCCTAAGCCCTGAACCCTTAATCTCAAACCCTAACTTCCTGCACGCCCAGGTGTGATCACCGAGAACATCATCGGACAAAGGCGGCTTCCGGGTTCTTTAGTGATTTACACTCGCTTGGGTTTAGTTTCATCAGGGCTTAGCGTGGGACGTTTAGGGAGGTTAGAGTTAGCTTGGGGTTGAGAGCTGAGCGTTTAAAGCTCAGGGCTTAGGGTTTGGCTTGTGGGGCTTCAGGGTAGACCTAAACCCTAAACCCTAAACTCCTAATCCCTAAACTCCTAATCCCTAAACCCTAAACCCTAAGGATCTAAGGTGCAGCGCGCGAGCAGACGAGAGCTTTTTGTTCAGAAGCTGCCGAAACCAGGGATTCTGAATCCATGATCCTTATGAGGGTTTAGGGTTTAGGGTTTAGGGGATCCTTATGAAGTTTCAGGGTTTCGGGATTGACGGGTTAAGGGTTTCAAGGTTTAAGGGTTTGGGGTTTAGGGCTTCTGAACCACAGGTTCCATTTCCATTTGGCAACTCCAACAGACGTCGGCCCAGAGACGGATAAACTTAACAAGGGACCGAAACTTGCAGAGCAAGCCATACCTAAACACGGAGGAACCACGGATATTTCGTTTTGATGGTCATCTTCGGCAACATGGGGCTTCTGTCTCTCGGCGGAATTACCCGAGCTCCCACTCCTGAGATTCGGAGCTGCCTGACCTGAGACAGCATGGCTAGTCTTGGTCACTTGTCCCTGTCGGCAGCATGATGATTGTCTTTGTGCTCGTTATTCCTATATGTCTCTAAGCCCAAAAAGCCCCATACTCCGAACTTTAAGCCCTTGTGGCTGAGAGCTGTTTCGGGTAGCTCTCTTAGGGGCACAGGTTATAGAATTTCTGAGATATTTGATGTTCTTTTGAAAAATATCTTCGCAGGTACGCTCTGATCTTTGTTGCGAAGACCGTGCACCTGGCGTGGCAACCCTACTGGGCTCTCTACAGCAAGTTTGCAGCTTGGCCTCTGCAAGAATGTAGGGCCTTGGAGGCAAGGCCTTTGAGCCCCAAAGCGCCTTCGACCCAGAGCCAGTCAGTTGTCAACACCAACCCCTTGCCCCCAAACCCGAGACCAAAAACCTCGAAGTGCCTCTAAACCCTAAGCCCTAAACCTCAAAGTGCCCCTAAACCCCAGGCCAACAAGGCAAATCTACTGCTTCGGCTCTCCGATGCTTTTTGGTTCGTGTCGAGGAGGGTTTAGATGTTGGGGTTCCTGACGCGGATTAGGGTTTAGGGTTGAGGTGTTGTGATTGACGATTCAGTCCTGAGACTTTTGTGGAAGGTTTAGGGCCTGATTCGTTGTTCGGGTCTTGGGAGAAGTGAAAGACTCAGGAGGCCAGAGGTTGAATCCTTTCGGCCTGTCCAAGGCAGTGCGAAGCAAAGGGCCTTAAACACAAGCATACCTATCCCTCCAGATCTGCTTTGGGGTTCGAGTCTCCCAGAGGCCACTTATGCGCAGCAGCGAGGGAGTCACCCAGCAGCAACAAGATCATGGGCTGTCGGCGCTAAGTTTTAGGGTTGGTTGGGCTCAGAGGTGGTGGGCAGCAGCAGTAGCTAGAAGCACCTGTGATGGTTGGCAGAGGTGCAGTGTTACTGGGATGGACAGCATTGGCGGTGGTGCCGGTCCTCGTCGTCGCAGGGAAGATTCAGAATGAAAAGCCTTCTGAGGACTTTTGTGAAGGCCGCCTTTTGACTGTGCTCAGCGCCTTTCTACAGAGGCTACTACCAGTGGCTGCTCATGGGTGGCCACCTTCATGTGCTGAAGGCAAGACCCAAGCCGAAAGGAAGGTTGCTAACACAGTTCCCGCAACTCAGAATGGAGGAGTCTTATGATGGGCCTGTCATCTTCACGCCAATTGTTCCCTGACCTGAGTTGCTTCACAAGACCTCGAAAGCAATCTGTACCCAAGCAACCAAGAACTAAGCTTCCCTACACCCTAAGCCCCAGTCCCTCATCCTTAAGCCCTAGGCCCTAGACCCCAATCCAAGCCCTAAGCCTTAATCCCAAACCCAAGGCTCTAAACCCTAAACCCCAAACCCCCAAGCTCTGAACCCTAAGCCCTAGACCCTAAACCCCAAAGCTCTAAACCCAAAACCTTCAACTCAAGCCGGAGCAGCGGGCAGGCGCTCCTGGGCTACGAGGTGCCGCTGCTCCTGGTCCTTACGGTGGTTTCCCTGATTCTGCGCCTCGGCCGCCTCAGCGTAGGGGATGTATGGGTTTGACGACCCTTACTGCAGGGTTTTGGGGTTTTGGGGGTGTAGGGTTTAGGGTTTTAGGGTTTTAGGGCTTTAGGGGTTGAGTATGTTTGAGTTTAGGATTTAGGTTCGAGCCTTGCGCGATTCATGGGTGACAGATAGATTGGACCTGACTGGGTTCTGATGGGGTCAGGGTTTCCTTATCATGGTAGCTGAACCCAGATGGTCCAGTTTCTCCAGTTGGAGATTTAGGCGACCTCTCTGGGGATCTCAGGTACCGGGAACGATGGCTTCTGCCACAAAGTTCTGACAGCAGAAACTCCGATTAGGGTTTCGGGTTTAGGGTTTAGGAACTTATCCCTAACATAGCCGCCAGTCAGTGACTTATGCGAGGGACCCCATACCTAGGGTATCAATTGAGGTTTCGTTGCTTGCTAGAACCTCGGACCGTTCCAGAACATTGAGCCCCAAAATGACCCTAAGCTCTGGACTGGGAGCCCGATCTAAGCTCCTGAAGAATTTTTGGCCTTCATCCTGCATCCCAAGCTCCAAATCTCGATATCAACAAACCCTACACCCACAACTTGAAGCCTGCTAAACCCTGCGCCCCTAAGCCCCTAAATCCCTAAACCCTGAACCCTGTATACCCTGGCCCTCATAGAAGCCGCATGATGCAGGGCTCCAGCCTTAAGCCTTAAACCCTAAACCCATAACCCATATGGCCCATAACCTTAAACCCATAGCCCTAAACCCCTCAGCCCTAAACTCATAACCCTAAGCCCCCCAAAACTCAAACCCGTAAGACTCTCCAAGGCTTGGGCCCCTGCTTCGGCACGTGGGCAGCTGCGGCTGCAGCTGGAAGATTTTGGGGGACCCTTCTTGTCGGATCTAAAGTTTAGGGTTTAAGGGTTTTAGAATTTATGGCATAGGGCTTAAGGGGCTTAGGATTGTAAGGTTTCGGGTGAAGGCGACTTAGGATTAAAGGTTTAGAGTTTAAGAGTTTCGGGCTTATGGGGAACAGGGCGCAGGTTTTGTTTGAAGGGGGTCCCAGTTTGTTATATGAAAACTTCGGTTCAGGTCCACAGTTCAAGGGATTTTAGAAGCGCAAACCCTATCCAGCCCTACTCTGTAGATCCCGATTTCAATTTCGATCTCACTGAGTGGGAAAGGCTCAGCTAGTTTCGGAACTATTTGTGACTACCATTGTGCTGTAAAAATTTGGAAAGCACTGATCGCTGATCCCTATAAGCCCTAAACCCTAAGCCCCAATCCTTCACCCGGAAACCCTGATCCCGAGTCCCGAAGCCCCAATCCCTCACCGCAACACCCTCAACCCTCAACCCTAAACCCTAAACCCTAAACCCTAAACCCTAAACCCTAAAGTTTAAACCCCTAAACCCTAAGCCCTAAACCCTAAACCCCTAAACCCTCAGCCAACGCCCGAAACCCCCAAGCGAGCCCTCGGCTTTTCCCCGAAGTTTGGGGGAGATCCGAGGCTTGGCGCTTCGGGGCACTACCGTGCTCGAGGATTGCAGGGGGCTTTAAATTGGGTTTAGGGTTTAGGGTTCAGGGTTAAGGGTTTAGGGTTTAGGGTTAAGGGTTTAGGGTTTAGGGTTAAGGGTTTAGGGTTTAGGGTTTAGTGCTTTTTTGGGGGAGTTCACGGTTCGGGGTTCGGGGATTACGGTTTACGGTTTAGGGTATAAGGCTTGGGTTTAAGGTGAGCTTGTTTGCGGGGATGAGGACTGGTCTCCTTAGGGTTTAGGGGTTTTGGGATTAGATTCGCATTTAGGGTTTTGGGCTTTGATTAAGTTGGTTTGGGATTAAGGTGGACGGTTTAGGGTTCCTTGCAGCACACCCCACTGAGGCCCGTAAAGATTTCGGGCCAAAGAATTTACTATAATTTAGAGTAACTTCTTTGGCCCGAAATCTTTACGGGTCTCAGCGGGGTGGACCCCAAAAGCCCTACTCTAATCATTGAGGCCCGTATATCATATCGAAGCATCAAGCTCGGAAAGCGTCATGAGGATATGGGCCACGGCGATGCCATAGATTTGCCCGGGACGAAGGCCAGCATCGTGTCCTGTGCAGGGCTTCAGCAGCTTTTTTACATGGTTTTTGTTCTAATATGATTAGCATGGTTCCTTTTGGTTTTTGTATGGTTTGTTCTGGTGTTTCACGGGTTATTGGTGGAGTTCAGGTTTTGTTTTTGGGCGCGCTGTTTTGGGGCTTCTGCAGCGCCGCCTAACATGTCTGTGAAGAGACCAACCCTAAACCGAAACCCTCGATCCCCGGGTCGATTTGAGGAGCCTTGACCCCTAAACCCTAAACCTTGGTTGTATTGCAAGCCCTGCAGAGCCAAGAGTTTTCGGGCTCTGTGAAAGGCTTCAGGGTGTCGGGTGTAGGCAGGGTGTTGCCGTGACATATGAAAGTTGTAGGCTGTTGGTAAACTGCTACCTTATGAGTTAGAGTAGGGTTTTGGGGGTATTATTGCACTGTACTTTGCCAGAAAAGCCACATAATACAATATGATAGACTACCATCATTGCACCAGAATGACCGGTTGAACCGCACAAGAGCTGATTTTATGAAGCCTGGTAACAGTAGGGGATACTCCTTAGGCGTACTCTCTTAAGAGCATAAGCTCCAAAGACCCAGGAGCCCCTGAACCTTAATCCCCATGACCTAGACCCAAAAAGACCCAAAGCTCCAAACCCCAAAGCTTCCTCTCCACTCTCTCTTGCTCACTCTCACTCTCTCTCTCTCTCTAATTGTCTGCCTCTCTCGTGTATAGGGGTGCCTGAACAATCCCTTATGTTTCAGAACCCCGCCAAAGAAGACCTAGTCTAAATAGTCTATCCGAGAGCGCAGGTGTTACCCCTCAGACCTGGCGACTTCCGACAGCCTTTCTGGATGGCCCTTCAGATGCTGCTTGGGTCCAGGCCGGCGGGTGAGTGAAGGTGTTCAAAATCGTGGCTCTTCATGTTGAAATCAGATTCTATACTGGTTCTGCAGGAGTATGGCTTGTTACTGACTCATTCAGGGTTTTTGGTTGAGGCGGATCTTTCGGCTTTAAGGTTTGGGGTTGAAAGTTTTTTCTCTTTCTGCATGCTACAAGCACGAGCACGAGTTCAATCTAGACTACATGGAAGGGGATCCCACTGGGGATCCCCCTAGTAAGCACACCAAACAGAATCCTCCTAAAACACTAAAAACCTATTTCAGGCACGCCCATCTTATCGAAGCCTCTTCCCCTTTGTCTTTAGATGAGGATCTAAGGCCCCAAACCGCAAACCATCCTCAAGCCCTCGCAAGAAATACGGCTGGTTTTGAGTCCTTCGTCTTACGATGATTAAGCCCTAAGCCCTAAACCCTAAACCCTAAACCCTAAGGACAGACCAGATGAGAGCTGAGAGAACTCACACAGGTGGGCCTGGCGGCTGCTGCTGCCTGGCCAGACACGGAGCTGATGAAGTGTTTTCTCTGACTATTTCTGTAGGGCGATAAGGATTCCTGAAAGGGTCCCCACAGGATTTCTTACCTAAACCCTAAACCCTGTAAGCGGCTAGACAGCCCCGATTCCTCAAAGGGTCACCGAAGGGGTTCTTACAGGTTTCAGGTGGTTGTGGGCATCTTCAGCCGGGTTTTGAGTTTAAAGGCCCCCTGTGGTTCAGGCTTTGGGGGTCTGAAGGTTCCGCTAAGCACCTTCCGTGTGTTCCCAAACCCTCCGTACCAACAGAACAGAGGGTTTAGGGTTTAGGGTTTAGGATGTGGCCCTACACGCAACGGCCAGCCCCTACGCCAAGACCTTGACACTCCAAAGCCTAAGCCAGCAGCCCTCAAGCAAGCATCCCAACTCCCAAACAAAGGCCTTCGACCCTGAACTCTAAAACCCTATAGACCCTAAACTCAAAGCCCTAAGCAAGCCCCAAACGCTAAGCCCTAAACGCCCTAAACTCCTTCAACCCTCCTTTCAGCGACGATGCCTGACAAGGCTGCCTTTCCCGGGATGTGCTTCAGACGAGGCCGGCGTCTGGCTTCGGGCTTCGAGCTTACCAGGGTGTAGGCTTTTTGGGTTTGGGGCTTACGGTTTAGGGTCCAGGGTTTAGGGTTTAGAGTTTTGAGGCTCATGGTTTAGGTCGAGGTGGTTTAACTTTGAGTTCCCCTGCCGCGCCGAGGGCTTTTTGTGTTAAACCTGTCGGAGCCGAGGCGTTATTCCTTAGGGTAGCTTGATGCTATATCTACGATCGCAAACACCCCAAAACCCTAATCTAACTAAAGAAGCATGAAGGCCCCTAAATATGACAGGATCCTTATAGTAGCTTTTACTCACGCCTTAAAAAGGGAGCCCTGAAGAGGACCCTATTCAAAATTACTAAGGGCCCCTACCGTACCCTTTCGACTCCGCGGAGGAACCAGTGCTCAGCGGCGACGTGCTGCGTGAGCTTCGGGCCCTCTTCGTTGAGACCGGAGACGCCAAAAGCAACCAAAAAGGGGTCTCGGGCTCAGGGCCTCGGAAGTTCAGGGTTTTGGGGGGTCTTCAGGGTGCCTTTTTGGGGTCCTTCTAAGGGTACTCGAAGGGTTTAGGGGCTCTGGTGGTTTCGGCCTTAGGGGGTTTAGGGTCCTCTCTTTGCTTCGTGATTTGGAGTTTCGGGAACTCAAAGAATCTCCAGATAAGAAGGCGAGAGCAAAAGAAGCAGAGGGGTCGTGCGAAGCTCAGGCCCAAGACGCTGCCCTCTAGAGTTTAGGGCTTAAGGGTTTCGGGGGTCTAGGGGTTTAGGGTTTAAGGGCTTAGGGTTTTTTTCTTTAAGGGTTTAGGGGTTTGGGGGTTTAGGGTTCAAGGGTTTGGAGTTGAAGGTGCAAGGGGTTAGGACTTAACTTACTTGCCTTTGGGGCCTCGCGCTGGCAGTGCGTTCGCGCAGCTTTGAAGAAGGCCCGAGGAGGCGACATGAACTTCGGGACATGTTTCTTGTTTTTTTTATAGGTTTTAGGGTTTAGGGGTTTAGGGTTTAGGGTTCAGGGGTCTAGGGGTTCAGGGGTTTAGGGGTTTAGGGTTTAGGGCTTAGGGTTGAGGGGGCCCATGAACCCTGAACGGACGAACAAGCACCACGGCCGAAGCCCAAAGTCCCAGCCCAAGATATCTTGTAGCCTCGATGTGCCAATGAGCTGTGGAGCCTTCGACACATCCCCAAGCCCTGAGACCCAGATGCCGCTTTATCCGAAGTCCCAACCTCCCGAACCCCATATACCCCATCGGAGCTTTAAATCCCAAACTCCCGAAACCCCCCAAGCCCCTAAACCCTAACATTCTACGCCCGTTGCGGCTGGATCTCAGAGTGCATGCGCCATGGGCTCGGGAGCGTCCCTGGCCGCTGCGGGCAGCGTCGGGACCTCAAGAAACCAGATGTCGCAAGCCATCTTGAGCAGCCCAAGCCTTAGAATGGGCATCTGGATATTCAGTAAGAATGACACTGTTCCCCAGTGTGCAGAGTTTTTCAAGCCGCCGAGAGCTCGAAATCTCAAACCTGAAACTTTGCGGTGCCTGACTCTGATCCCTGACAAGCCGCAAGCCTGAAACCCGAAACCCCCTTAGCCCTCTTCCCCAAACCCTCACCCTTGTAGGCCAAAGCCGCAGTGGCTGCCGGGGTGGTGGCTTCGGGCACCGCGAAGGTCCCCAAATATCCGGAGAACTGCTGGGTTTTCGTGTTTGGGCTTTAGTTGTTCTTGTGCTTGAGGCCAGGCCAATGGTTCAGGGCATAAAATTTGGAGGTTTCCGGCCTGCTGGCTCCTCGGACGGACGTATGCCCACCCCGATGATCCGGTCAAAGCCTTAAGCCCTAAGCCCTAAGCCCATGTGCAGGTTGCAGTGGGTGCCGTCCGGGGCGACGACAGCGGCCGTGAACTGCCCGGCGCCTCAGAAGGGAGTCGCGTTGAGCCCTTTGATGGCAGCATGCGAATATCCCTCGGATTCGTGGGCCCACCATGCCGTCTCGGGCTGCCAAAAACCTGGGCGTCAGCAAGAGATTCGACCTTATGAAAGTGGGGCTTTCGGCTACAAGCTCCGCGTGCCGTCGCTTGAATGTCTGTGCTTGCCGTAGAAGCTGTGCACGAATCCCCCGCTACTGAACATAGAAGATTACGATCACCAGCTGTTTCTCTGAAAAGTATAGGCTAGAAGCATCTTCCACCTTTCGGAGCCTCCACATATCCGGATCACTGCCATGTTGACTTCCAGAACTTGCCGAATATCCTGACACCTAGAAGATCCCCAAACGCACACGGACACTGAAACCTCAAAGCCTAAACCCTTAAACGCAACCTCAGACCCCACTCTCCCAAGGATTTCCGATGGCCTGCAGGACGTGAAGGCCAGGCTTGTGCGTATTTAATGTAGGAACCTGATTAAGAAACCCTGGCCCTATAACCCCAATATAGTGGGAAATAATATTAATAATATTAAGAACCCTAATAAAGACCCAGGGTTTCTTAATCAGGCCCCTATATTAGCAGGCTTCGGACTTCGGGGTGTTGACTTTGCAATGAAGGGAAACTTGCGCGCCCGCGTGTAGCTTGAGCTCCACACTGTCCGCCGTAGTCTTGAGTTCTTTCGCATGATATACTATAAAATGTACTATATCATGTAATATGATTGAATATACCGTAAAAAAGAGTATACTATGACATACTATAGAAAACTACACTATATTGCAATACACCATGATGAATGTGGTCGGGCAGATGCACCTAGACCATAGCTCTCACCCTGGCAGACTTTCAGATATCTCATACAGGAGGCTTAGGCTTCCACCATTCAATCCGAAATGCCAAAGCTTCTAAAGCCGGTGCTCAATCCAGAGCCCAGGAGGCAACTTCCGAGCTGCTCTGTGGAGGGGTGTCTCTGGTGGCTACAACCGTGGCAGTGGTTCTGCCCTGAGTGCTCCAAGCTCTGCAGGTTCATGCTAACATAGGAGCCTGTTTAAGAAACCTTTGGTCTTTCTTAGTGTTCTTTAGTTATTTGCAGTCTTATCTTAGGGTTATAGGGGCAGGCCAGGTTTCTTAATCAGGTTCCTACATTAGGTTGCATGCCTAGTGGATGCCCTCCGTTGGACTGTCCCTTCATCGCAAACAATGCTGTGCTTGTTGTAGGGTTGAGATGTTCGGGCAGGCCAACTTGTTCGGAGGTTGGGTTTGGTCTAGCGATCAACAACTTGCCAAGGAAACCTTCTCCAACTTGTTGAAGTTACCGAACATTGCTCCCAAAACCAACACCCTACGCCTCAACCTCTAACCTCACGATAATCAGCTGGCATAGCCCGAAAATCCTAACCCCACAGCCCCTCAACCCACGCATCTGTGGGACAGAGAAAGGCCTTGCAACCATGACAACACTCTGCTACGCACCCTCTGCCCCCTAGCTCGCACGTAAAAACACTGCAATTACACTGAAAACAAAACCCCACCCAAATGCCAGGAACCCAAACCCTAAACTGTAAACCCTAAACCCCACCCTCAACCTAAACCCTAGACCGCAAACGTCATTCAAAACCCAAAACCCGAAGCCTCAAACCCCGAACCCTAAACCGAAGTCTGCGCCATGCTACGAGGCCTAAGCCCTGAAGGCTACAAACTCTGAAAGCCCAAAGCTCTAAAAAACAAAAAAGACCCGAAAGCCCCAAAACGCTAAACAACCCAAAAAACCCTAAACCCATAAAGCCTTAAAAACCCCCATAAGCCCTTAAAAGCCCAGGGGTCTAAACTGCCAGGCCTGCGCTGGCGCCGCCGGGGGCTTCGCGCGGGTCGTTGAGGGCGGACCTGGCCCAGGACTCCGAGGCCAGGTGCGAGGCTCCCTTGAAGGAAGCCTGACGAGGGGTCCTTTAAGGGTTCCTTAGGGGGAACCTATATCTACATATATTTATATATCTATGTACAGATAGATAGATAGATAGATAGATAGGGTGTCTTTAACGGATTACTCCCGGGCTCCTACACGGGTTAGGTTAAGGGTTTCTCGAAAGGCTCCTTGAACGTTCTTACAAGCGTTGCTATACAGAGTCCTATCAGGGTTCCTAAACGGGTAGGGGCTCTTCTGCTTTTGTAGATGGGGGTTTAAGGGTGTAGGGGTTTATGTTTTAGGGTTGTCTAGACTTTGTCTGTACTGCTTCGACTCGTTTGGTTTCAAAAGGTTATCTATGCAAGGGCAGGGATGAGGAGCAAGGTTGGGGACGGGGTAAGGGCTAAAGGATTGTTGAGGGCGTGCGGTGGAGGACTAAGAGTTGTCGGTTTTCCAAAACTTGGAGGTGCAGCTTTACGGCTTGAGTTTTGAGAGTTATTTTCGGGATGTTAGAGGTTTCTTTCCTTCAGCGACTGCTGGCCGTTTGTTGTGGGCGGGTTGTTTAAGAGTTCAGCAATCCATGGGCGGTGAAGGGCCTGGGTCTTGATGTTTGGAATTTGTAATTCCGTGTGTGTTAAGTTTTCACTTTATCGCAGTGGTTGTCACTAGCTGTGGGGTTTCGGCGTAAAGGTTTATGGTGTTCGGTTGCCACAGACAGACATCCGAAAGCCGGTTCAAGTTTCGTGGCTTGGTGCCTGCGATCAATATCCACGGTCTTGTTGGTGGGGCTCAGGAGGTGGATGTCACGTTGCAAGCAGGCATGTCAGAATAATTCCAAACCCTGTCCGACAAACTGGTGCTAGTCAGAAGATCTTGCGCATGTTTCAACATTTTCCTGAGCTGTTTGCCGTCCCGAAACCCTGAACCCTTAAACCCGCCGCGCCTCAACCCTTACAGCCTTGAGCCTCGCAAATCTCTCACTCCATACCCTTACATTCATAAAGACCTTAACGTCAGACTCTAACCCTAAACTCTACACATCCTTTAAACCATAAAGAGACCCCAGACACTTAAAATTCTGAAGAGTAGCACCCTCCCAGGCGCCCTTCTCGAAGCCCCTGCTGCAGCGGTCTCCCACGCTGCCGGCGGCGCCGGCCCCTTGGGGGTCCTGGCAGGCGCCTCCCTGTTTTTTCTGGGTGTTTTGTTGTACTGTATTGCGGTTTTATAATCCTTATCATTTGTCTTATTGTTTCTCGCTTTTAGTATTGTTGCTGTTCTTGATTTTGGTGTTGTGAGTTTTTTTTATTATTGTTTTATGTTGGTACATGCACTAACTACTGCTGCTGCTGCTGCTGCTGCTGCTGCTGCTGCTGCTGCTGCTGCTACTGCTACTGCTACTACTACTACTACTACTACTACTACTGATTACTCGTGCTTCGTTGCTGTTATCCCGACAGTTGCAGTGATGATTATGCTTATGACGATAATCATTGCGATGGTAACTATAGTTTGTCTCGGCACTCGTGCATTGCTTTTGAATAGACGTTTGGAGTATGTCGGGTGCTGCCCTTGTCATGCGCGGGTTGTCTTTGTTATTCGATAGCTGCCATGTCAGAGTGAAGGCTCTGCTGGCTCTCTTTGTCATCAGAAGCAGCATCAGTCGTGACGACCATCTCTTTCAACTATCAGCACCATCAGGGTTTTTGAAGGCATCCGGCTGCTGTCGGCAGCTTCTGACGTAGCACAGCCGGATTTTGGTTCGCGCTTAGGATTCCATTCAGGCATCCATGAGCAGGTCCTTGCGCATCACTGCCATGATTTGTTGTGCTTGTAGTCCGCATGGGAAGAGGCTCTCAGCGTGTCTTGACATGGCAAATTACTTGTTGTGGTCTCAAGGTCTTCCCAGATCCAAACCTGCAAGTCGTCCGCCCCGCACATAGAAGCTGCGATCCTAAGCTCTTCGCCAAGGATGTTGAGACCCTGAACACTTCAACTCTGGATGATGGTAGTCCTAAACCCTGGTGCCAAAAGCGCACGACACACTAAGCATGCTGTAAACCCTAAACCCCCAGAATCCTAAACCGTAAGAGCCTAAACCCTAAACCCCAAGACCCTCAAACTCTAAGCTCTGAACCCCAGGCCCCAAGCCAAAGCAAGCCAAAGAAAGCCTGAACCGAAAGTTCCCAAGACGCCTGTAAGTCCCTTAAACAACCCTTGAAGGATCCTGATAGACACTAAACAGCCTAAACCCACTAAACTCTAAACCTCTTCAGCCCTAAACCCCTCAACCTCAACCCTAAATCCCTAAATCCCTAAATCCTCAACCCTAAAAGCCCTTTCTTGAAGTCTCTTTCAGGCGCCTTCGTCGCCGGTCATGGCTCGGGTGGCGCTTGGCAGGAGAGCGCCGAGGCGGAAGCAGGGTTTAGGGTTTAGGGGTTTAGGGTTTAGGGTTTAGGGTTTAGGGGTTTAGGGTGTATAGGGTGACAGGTTTGAGCATTTTTGGGGTCTTGAGTTTTTTTTTGTTTTAGGGGGGTTGTCGGTTGTGGAATTTGGACACCAAACCACCCAACAACAACTGCACGGGGCTGACAGATTGACGGAGTTTGAGCTAGGGTCTAGCAGGGTTGGGGCTTAGGGATGCATCAAGGTAGCTGGCATTATTATCAGTTAGGGATTCGTGTTTCAGGCTTTCGGCATCAGAAAGCTTGTGCAGAGTTAAGAGTTGTGTTAACTCCGCCGCAAGGGATGTCGCAGTAGCGCTGTGTGAATAAGCAGGAGCCTGTCAGATCCTTTCAAGACACCCAAAACCCTAGAGTCTTAACCGAGAAACCCTAAGCCCTACAAGCCCCAACTCGACCCAAACAGGAGAGCCGGACGCAGGCGCTGGCCGAAAAAGAGGCGCTGGGCTGGTGGGTTCAGAACTTGCAGGGACGGCCTTAGGTCGTAGGTTCCAGGTGAGCCGGTTTGGAGTCGAAGGGTAGCCCGGACAGCCAAGACTGCGACTGGCTTCTTAAATTACTAGGGTTTTGGGTTTAGGGTTTAGGGGAGTGCTGGGCGCCTGAGCTGTTCGAAAACCTGTGGTTCAGGCGCTACTGCAATCTATCGGAACCTGGAGCTCGCCGCCACTAGGAGCCATCAGATGTGTGATTTAGGGGTCTCCGGTTTCAGGAGGTGGTGTTGCTCTCATGTTCTTGCATTTGTTACAGTCGTGCTTGGCGTTGCATGCAGGCTTTGTCGGCTTTTTAGCTAGGGCAGCCAGGGCTAAGCAACCTTCACCATCGGGCTGTTTTGCGTTTGCGGGCTGCCATCGAGTCTGGGCAGGATGCGATTGTTCTGTAGCTGCGCCTGAGCTTGAGAGCTTCCCCCACCCCACCTTCCCTAAACCCTAAACCCCAAACCCCTAAACCCCAAACCCCCAAACCCCTAAACCCCCAAACCCCCAAACCCCCCAACCC